ACTTACCATGGGTCTCTTAAAACCGTGGAATTAATTGGTCAATATTACTAGTAACTGACTGCCGTTAAAAACGGACAGCGATGGAAAAAACTGGGAAGACAGGCCGACGTGGATCTTCTGACCACAGATTGCAGCTCATCTGAAAAAGCAAGTGGGGTCGGGTCCATGGAAAAAGAAGAACACTTTCGGCGATCAGCCCTTCCTTGACCCGGATGTTGGGACCTCTACTAGTCAAACCCGATCAAGGGCCTCCTCCTCTTCTCTCTGCTGCTGCCGACCTATGACCGACCGAATTTAGCTTCTGATTCTCTTCTGTCATTCAGCTGAATTTCCCCGCTGTGGGAATCCTTCGAGACTCGTCAAAGTCTCGTCATGAGAGAGCACCTACCACTGGAGTTGTTGTTACTACTACTACGTATTATCATGATCGATCTCGATGAGATGAGACCATCTAATCGGTCGATCGGACCTTCGCCTAATTACCTTGCAGCGGGCGAAACGCCATAGCCGTCACAATTTATAATAAGTAGTGTAGCAATTCTGCAAGGCAGGTTATGGAATAGGAAATTTGTGAGATGGCGTGGGCACACTCGCTCCTTGTCTTGTCCTGCTGTACAGTGTTATTTATTAGTGTGTTATTCAGTGGCTTTGATTAACTTTCATCCTAACCGTCTTGAATCTAGGCGCATACTGTTTGGGGATAAGCTATGACTTGTGATGCACTTGGTAGTCTCTGCTTGGTCAGAAGTGGCCCTACGCGCCTGTTCTGACACCAACACCACTGTGGAGACTAAACCCGGCGATCTCATGTGCTAGAATTTTGCTTTTTCCTCTTTTCTTTTCTTTTCTTGACTCTTGATTATTTTCCATTTCTTTCTCTATTTAATTTAATTTATTTTCATCTGCCAATTCTTTTTCTTTATTCCCTTCCTTTTCCCTTTCTTGTGTGCATTTTCCTCGTGTCTCCGCCCGTGATTGGCTTGGAATTTCATAGCTGAAAAATGAATTCCTCCCACCCCCCCCAAACTAAGCCCCGGCCCCTCTCCTGCATGACCACTAAGATCGTTTTTGGCTAGACCTGCAGCCATGCCTGCTCCGGACCGTTCCTGAGCGAGAGGATTTGCTTCCTTGCTTCTCCTTGGCTTCCCTTCCGTGCAGTACGGACTGCATTGGTGTGCCAATTGGTTGGCCCAGTTAAGTGATGGGATGGGATGTGGCCTACATGAGAGGAGGAGGCGGGCGTCAGTCCTTACTACCACCCTGTGCAACGTAGCTGATGAGCGACTAATAGCAGGGCTTGCTCTTAAAGCCCGGCGGCCTACTAGTACCTACGACTTACTACCTGACGATTACTTATGCCTGCAGGAAGCTTTTTCCGCAATCCTTTGAGTCAAGCACGGTTGGCTCGGTCTTGTACTACCCCCCACCTTATACGGCATTTAATTAAGCAGAGACAGCAGCAGTAATTAAGTGAGACGTTCTGTACCACCTTTAATTCTGTGGGCAAACCCCGAACATTCAGCTAATATTTATTCTTCCCCTCTTTCTTTCTTGCTCGCTTGCTCGCTCTCGCCACCGTAAGTCGTAAAGTTTACTCTTTGGTAGGGTACTTAGTTACCTTTTAAAGAAAATAAAAATAGAAATCAATTGCTGCCATACTTTATTTACTTTATACTAGTAGCACGATCATTCACTCACCGCAAGGATTTCGTGATTATTATGGTTTAGTTTTTTAGTAGTTTTTTAGTTATACTTTATTTATCTATCTACGGGGCGATCAACCATCCGAAAACCGCGGTTCTTCTAAATACCATCAATCTACACTTTACCAGGTAATCGAAAACCTGTGTGTGTTTCACAGGGTGGAAAAACTACCCTAAAAAAAGAAAAGAAGGGGAACCCGGATTTGACAAACAGTCTAACCGACTTAGCTCGTTTCTGGAATTTTACCAATTACGAACATGGATGGGGCGTGTGAGGCGGGCAGACACACACTCACTCAATCACAAACTCTCTGTCTTGAAGGGCAAGGAGGAAGAAAAGAGGGGACGGAGGGAGAGGGGCGCCCGGAAGGAGTTCCTTCCCAGTTTCAGCTTCGTTTTGTCCTGCCGTGAGCCAGCTTAGTCTAGCCGATGATGCCGCCAACCATCTCGGACTACCCTCCCCCTTCCTTTCCCACACAACCCCCCGGCATATGATAGTGCCATTCTGAGGCTAAGTTGGCTCCTGATTAAGGCGCCCGAGGGGATCCCGAGTCATTCAAAACAGGGGACTTAATTGCGATGAACCGTCCAAAAAGCAAAAATAGGAAGGAGTCTCGAAAAGGAATGGAGACTTGGGGGTAGTTTATGGGGATGGGGTATGATCGTTTGTGCACGGTAGATAAAACATAAGCGCGATCGATAGTTGATGAGACAGGTTGGCAGTTTGATGATGAAAGATAACTGTGACTGATGTATACTACTTACTTACTACTTCGTATAATCCCTGAAGCGAGCAGCAGCAGCAGCAGTAATAACAACAACAACTTCCTCGCACCTCATAGACGTTTCGGGATTTAGCGCCGAATACTACTTATCGCCATCCAGGTATCTTCTGCCTACGTACCCTATCTAGTTACTTGCTAGACAGTCAAGGATATCTAGTACATGCATGCATCGCACTTGCATGGGGTACTACTAAACTAACACACGGGATATGCTCAGATAGGATTTCCTGATGGCGATGGCAGACGAACTTACCCAAGGGAGTAGGAGTATTTAGTATCCAGTCAACAAGACAGACTAGGATGTTCAGTGAACTGTCCACACCTTTTGTAACGCCACTGAGATAATCGCATCTCTTTTATTATTACTATGTATTATTATTATTATTATTATTATTTTCTTTTCTTTCTTACTCCAGTCTTTTTACCTCCTTCACCCCCTCTTTACTTACTACTAGCTGTTCGACGCAGCCTCCCTGCGCCCGAGACGGGTAATCACTCCAGATCCCGAGTCCTTGGCACCATCTGTCAAGACAACCTTAAGAGCGAACAATATTATTATTATCATTATCGATTTAAGGCGAGGAGAAGGATGGGGTGACCAGGAAAAGAAAAGAAAGAAAGGTACATAAAGAAAAATAAAAGAATGGCATTATTCAAAACAATCATAATAACAACAACCACAATACTAACAACAATAAAACCAAAAAACATCAACGAATCACAATTTTACCCTTTTCTCAGCAATTTTCTGATTGAGTGAAAATAAAAACCATTTCCTGCACAATTTCTCATTCCTCTCTTTCTCCCTCTAGTCTCCTAGGGAAAAATAATCCCCCATCTTCTTCAGTTCTTTCCCCCCCCTCTCTCTCATTGTGCATGCCCTTCTGAATACCGCCGGAGCAAATGACGGTCGTCTGTAGTTTGTGGCTACTGTATCCACTCCCACCCATGATCGTCGGTTTTCTTTTAGTTGGGTCTACTTTGGCCCCCCTCCCCCCTCCCCTCTCTCCCCTCACCCATCTTTTTCCACCCCCGTCCCCGCCCCCCCTGTTCTTGTCATTTACCCATGGGTCCTACTAACTAGGCTAGGTTTTGACTTACTGTAGTAAAGCAAACTATGGATGGCGTTAGTATGGGACAGCTGACGGACGGCAACTGCCAGTTTACTGTGCGCGTGCGTTGGAGGACAGCCAGTTTCAGAGAGAGAGTGTGAGCCAGATCTTGTGCCTGTCGGCTTTCTCTGACTCGACGTTTCTTTTTTTATTTCTGGTTGTTTTTTTCTTACGAGGGAGTTTCAAGGTAGGAATAGCAAGAGTAGTATAGTGTATAGAAGTTGTTATTTTTATTTTTCTGTTTATTAACTATCTGCCCTTCTAAACTTGTTCTTCCTCGTCTTCTAACCGCGAATGGCATCACTAAATGTACAGCTTGTCTTGCAGGAAAGGATCTATCTCGGAGTTGGACGTGCATGGTCATGATCCAGCAGTGTTATTTGTCTCCCGGGAAAGGGAAAGGGTTAGTGTACTTAGTAGTTAGTAAGTTAGTAGAGGGGGAAAGTGAGAAGAAAAGGAAAAGAAAAAAAGAATAGGGAAATAATCAAGAAGCGAGAAATTATCACCACAAAAAAAGGCAAAAAAGGAAAAAAAATGACATGAGAAGAAAATTTAAATAGAAATTGAAAATGGAAAATAAAAAATCGAAGGAGGAAAGAAAAACTGAGAGAGAAGAAAAGAAAAAAAAAAAAGGATTGAGGGGCGACCGAAAAAAGAAAAAAGGGTTAAAAAATAAAATAGTAAAATGAAAAAGAAAAATTAAAAAAAAAAAAGAAAGAAAAGAAAAGGAAAAAAAAAAGAAAAAAAAAAAGAAAAAAAAAAAGAAAAGGACTGAACCCCGACAACCTTGAAAGAGAGATCTGGTGTCCACCCAGCCCAGATCCAATTGTTGAGCTGCCTCACTCCTTACCTTGCATAACCTTGGTTCAGCTGTCTCCATCGTCATCGTGTGCGGCGATGTCAAGGTACTTTTAAACTCAGGCGCTGGTAACTATATTACTATTATCTGTCGCCCATGTTCCTCTCCTCCAACTATCGTCGTTCAGATTCATTATCTACGCTCTGTGACCTCAGTCGACTCACTTAGTTAACTCTTCCACCCCTCTCCGTCCTTCTTTTGCTTCTCCATCTCTTGATATCTACCTCATTCTTCCCCCCTCTCCTCCCCGCCATTTAATTCCACCACCAATCCTCATCAATCCTACTTATTACTCTTCACAACCCAAGCGGTTTGACGTGTGGGGTCATATATTATTTCTTTTCTTCTACCCCTACCAACCTGCCTTTTGTTCCGTGTGGAAGCCGCAGGCCGGCTATACTTGTGCAATCAAGCCTCCCTGCTCTGGACTTCTGTTCTACCTATCATAGTGGAATAGTTACCTCCTCGGAATCCTTTTCCTTCCCTTTGGCAGCGTTTGTCTATGTCCCAGTACCGTGAACTGGGTGAGGATTCTGGAAAAATGGCCATTTCCTACGCAAGTGGACTTCCAGCGGATCATACTCCTGCTCTTCCGTCATTTCGAGAGGTGAGCCAACACACTGCGCCTGGCAAACTGACCGGTGGTTTCGCCGTAAGAGGACCAGCCAGACTAATGTACTCTTTGATAGCTACTCCCGCCTCATCTCCATGATGAGATCGAATCGACCTCATATTTCACTTCCCGCCAGCACGCGCGCGAGCGGCCTACATCAGCAGCTCACGAATTGACGTCCAATCCCCGCCCTTTCTCTGATCGTCCCTATGGATCGCCCCCGAAATTGCCATTCGATTATGCCGCCCGGTCGAGTGAACCCCAAAGCCGTATGGCTGGTCACCCGACCGACCCCATTACAGGCTCTCCTCGCTACGCTTCTCGTGGCCCCAGTCCCATTCTACCATCCATTCGGGACCTTCAGTCGCTCCCTGAACGGGGATTGAATACATCGGGCGCTGCTTACCCAGAACCAAGGGCCCTTTCTCGACCGGACTTCGCAGCGCAGGAATTCAGGGCGGGCCCGGTTGGCCCCCACGCATATCCCCCAACCAACATTCCAGGCACAGTACCGGGTGATCGGAGGAGCGTGGATTCTTTCCCAGTCATGCCCAATCAGACTGGCTATGCCTATCCCGCAATGGGTTACCAGAGCGATTCCGAACAACCGTCTCCGCAATCCCTCTCTCATGCTCAGCAATCAAATTTCGGTATCCTCGGGGATTCGATTGACCCCAAGAACAAGCGGAGACGGGGCAACCTGCCCAAGCCTGTCACAGACATTCTGCGTGCATGGTTCCATGAGCATCTTGACCATCCGTATCCCAGTGAAGAGGACAAACAGATGTTCATGACCCGCACCGGACTCACTATCAGCCAGGTTAGTAGGAAACCACTTCGTCTAACAGGTCAGCACCTGCTAACTAGAAATTTATCTACAGATCAGCAATTGGTTCATCAATGCTAGACGGCGCCAACTTCCTGCTCTCCGGAACCAAATGCGAAACGGCGGAAACGACATTGACCCTCAAAGGCAATCTCCCTTCAGTGACATGGACCAGACGTCCCCGGAATCAATGCCGTCTCCTCACCAAATTGTCAAATCATAAATTGCCTTCGAGCACGATTGGGCACACCCGCTGGGCCAGGCATCGTTCTTGATGCCACTACCGCAAGATACATCCAACATTTCATCAGTTATGGGGCTTCGGGATACCAAGAACCAAATAGACACGAGAGTTCGCCACCACACCCATCTTTAATCTTTCTTTTTGATCATCAAAGAATTCTACGACGAGCCGAGTGAGATGGACAACCGCTCTTGATACCCTCTACCGTTTATCTAATCGACTTTATAATTATCGTGCATGGCTTCAACATTACAGGGTTTATGTGGCTGGGAGCACGGTTTGGAATGGCAGTTGCTGAGATGTGCGGTTCCTCACCTGTGCGCCCTTGCCTCCCGCATCATGGCTGCCTATTGCGATATTGCATCTCTAGGTGTTTTTGGTCATTTTATCGGCTATCTTAATTTCCTATGTTTTGTCTTTCTATACTAGATCAACGTGTTTCCTTTTGTTCTTTTGGCGCGCTTACACTTGCAAATCGGTTGTGATGGGTTTCACTTGGAGATGAGGATCAAGCATATGCATGACTTTTTGTACAGTATAAGTACGGATGATGTGACCATGTCAAGTTAGACTGTCTTTCCTTTTCATTTTCTGCTTACGATTTTTGGGAGGTCATCTCAGGTTTTGGAATTAGACAAAAATTGAGAACATTGGTTATTACCCATACAGGCTCCATTTTGGAAAGTCCGCATTGACTCGCACTTTCTCTCCTTTTTTTTACTCTTCTTCATTTACCCTTTTCATACATTTCCCGGCCCTCCTTATAAGACAGACCATGGTTGGGCTGGTTAAGGTTCCCTCATCTCACATCCGGGCGGTACCGTGCATTTCTGGCATTCGTCACAAACCCTTACCTAAGGCTGCACTGTGGCTTGACGGAAGTCCATTGGTGCAGGTTTTGTTACGCCCACCACCGCATGAGGCGATCGTTCGAGGAATGGAGGAGCCAACTCATTCTCAGATAGTCCCCTGGTGGGCGGTAAGAAAACCAAGGAACCGCTCTCGCATTTCTGATCCGGAAGATCCATGGGTTGAAGACCATTGTGAGACGCATGCAACATTGGAATCGGTCCACCCTGAAAGGCCACTCATAGCCTCTAGCCTTGCGGTGAGCGCCGGAAAGGACAGGCAGGAGGCGTGCTGTCACACGTTATGAGAAGAACTACAAAGGCCTAAATTTTGGTTCCGGCCAGTCGGGACGGCTAGATCGCCAAGTGCCAGTTACCGAGAAGTGCGCCTCGTGGATAGTCCAAGCCCAGTTGTTGCAGGGAGGCCGTTCGACGTCGTTGGATGGGCGCTGCTGCTTGTCAAGCGTTCGGACTCTCAGACGGGCGCGAGCGCTTTTTGCTATTCGGCCAGCTCTTGCGGTAAGGCGGCCTTGGGATCCTGGATCACCCGAGGAGGTCATCTTGGACGTCTGTGCGGGCGTACGTAGGTCGACCCTTGGACTCCGTATCAAATCGTACTGAAAGGGAGGGGGCCCGACCCATTGTCTGTCCATCAGGTCTCATGAGCCACACGCACACACGCAGCGTTACTGTTGCATGGAGACACTCGAGGCTGGTCTTCTTGGGCCCCTCTTTTTTCTTTCCCAACGGTCACCGGCACGGAAATCCCTGCAAGCCAGAGACAGGCGGACGGGCGGAACATGCCTCCGAGACCATTGGAGAAGCAGATCAGGCTTGTCGACTGTGGCACAGGGCTTGACCCCAGCTGCACGAAGCACGGGGGAGGAGGTGAGGGAGAGGAGAGGAAACGATTTAGAAACCAGGATCTATCCGATCTATCACATGGCGGTGAATCTGGCTGCCGCGCATGGGGATCCCAGGTACTCCGGATGTCACCTTTCAAAGCGAGGGGGGGTCGCTCGGATCAAGGATGGGCGGCATTCTACTGGAGGAGGGGGGGGAGGATGCTACACAGGATGTGCCTTGACAGGAACGCAGCTCGAGTCAGGGCCTGCTTTGACACGACAGCTCAACGGTCGAGAGGATGCAGATGGGCATGAAGAAATACGAAGAGGTATTGCATGGCACCCGTCCTAGCCCTGATCCCCGATCAGAAGGTGAAGACAGGTCGGCAGGTCAGCCGGCCTATCATCATCCCTCGCCCTGGACTTGAAGGTTCTTCCTGTATCTGTACATGCGACCGACCGATTGCAAGTCCGTCGCGAAGTATTCACCCATCGATGCAGCGAAAACCTGGAAACCACCCAGCTGCACCCCACTCTGGTGCGGCAGATCTCCCTTTCCCTAGTATAAGCTAGTATAAGGAGAGAGAGGATCGACATTGAAGGTCAATAATTTAGTGCTCTTTGCTGCATATTGTTGGCTCTGTGACTGCTGTACGATTTAAATCACCGAGCATCCCCGCCAGGATGCCGCGGATCACTTTTCCCACCCCCTGGCCGTGGGATATTATCTCCATGCTGCAAGGTGTGAGTCAGTAAGGAACTCCTCGCGGCTTGATAACTGCATTAACCGGTTGGGAGACCCCACTGCGTGCAAGAACCGCGATGCCTACAGAATCGCCTCGCCACACACGCACACCAGCCACAGGCCTGGCGTCAGCGCCTAAAGGAGCATTTCCGGAGCCTATCGTCTGTACCGGGTACATGGGACTATGTACGAAATGTAGGTGGATATGGACTAATGCACGCGCCATCCCTGATTCCTCCCAACCAATCCAGGGCCATGGCCCTTCCCAGAGCTGCGACATGTTATACTACCCATGGAGCTCTGCCCGATCCAGTCCGACTGGAAGGCGAGTGTGCAACGCTCGGTCCTCTCAGCTGCACAGTCGGGATTGTCGTCCCTTGACGAATGACGTCTCAGAAAAAACTAAGCATTTAGGTACCTGAATTGCATTGCCTGACGGTCTGACAGGCCTTTCCCCTCCCTTCATGGTAAGTTTTTACCTGCTGCGGAAATCCGAGAGATCATTTATCGGGCGGAAGTAACCACCGATGAGGACCAAACTCATCCCCCCCTCTGGCGTGTTTAGTTGGCCGTCATGCAAGTTCGCATCCTGGGAGCTAGCCACTACCCACTTGCATGTACGTCAGTCACGGTGGCTTGTGTTTGTACCCAAATGCAATCCGGGGACTCGGGATTTGACATACTGATACAAGGCGACTAATCTGTTGGCTGGAGTCTTTGCCCAGACTCTGGTCTGGTGTGGGGGTTGAGTGTCGTGTGTCTGTGTGTGTTGTATGTGCACTCGATGTGCGTACGTATACCCCATACCAAACCGACATATATGCATACATATGTCGACATGTCTGAGGCGAACTGCAAGCTAGATCTGCAGGTCGTTCATTACTTACCTGCCTGTCTATCTGTATGTGATATGGTGGAGGAGCTCCTTTCTAAACTTACTAGGTATGACAACAGATTCATATTGCATCTTGCTGGCCCCCTTTTCCTTTTTCGAATTAAAATAGTTGCTTCTCCTTTCTCATTCTTGTTCAACCCTAGCCCTACGGGCGCATGCCATGGAATGCATGAGTACCATGGTTCATCCAGCGCCCTGTGCGTTTACTCCTCATTTCCCACTAACTCCCTGCCTCCTGATATCATCCAAGGGTTTCTGCTGCTGCTACTACTACTACTACTACTGCATCGCTGATTTCTCCCCATTTGCATGCGTGCGCTGGCGCCTATACCATGTTAAATAGTCTTGGGACCGCCGCCCCCCCCCCCCCCCCCCCCCCCCCCCCCCCCCCCCCCCACCGCCCAAAAAAAAAAAAAAAAAAAAAAAAAAAAAAAAATACGTGTTATTGCTTATGTTGTGTGATGAAAAATGGTTGGCCACCGTCAAGGTGACACACATAGGCTGGATAATATATCCGACTGAGACACGAGGGTAATGGGTTTTACCTTGCTAACTTCGCAAAACCCACTTTAAAACCTGAACCAGACACTAAGTTATGGAATTGGGTTTAGTGGATGTTTGTTCCTCTTTTCTCTCTCCCTTGATTTGTTTCCTGGGTTATCTTGATCTTATAGGGTATGTAGTTCTCCCTCTTTGGGGGATAAAAACAAAAATTTTTCTTTTTTTGGGCAGGAAACTTTATTGTTGGCAAAGTTAGCTAGTTAGGAAGCTAGATACAGTAGTTCTGGCCCTTGTTATGTATGTGTGGGGTTTGCAAAGGGATGGATGGGTGGATGGGCATGATGGTAGTACTCCGTAGTAGTAGTGATGGGTTCTGATCAACGATTCTCTCTCTTCTTACTTTTGTATTGTGTAACGTGGAGATGTTGGGGAGAAAGCTTGGGGAAAGGGGAGGGAGGGAGTGATGGTGGTTCGGTTTCATGTGAGTTCTATGGGAAAGTTTGTTATGAAGGGATGTTTGTGGGATTCATCATCGAACTCATCCCGCTTTCGGCTGTACTCGAAGTCAGAGATCTGGTCATTCAGATGAAGTTGTGTTAGCTTATTATCTGTAGTGATATAGCATGTTGATGGTGGGTTAGATAGCATGCCTATCTGTCTGGGGCGTATGGATGTCATCTGCTTTCTGTACCCTCCCTTACTCTGATATCAATCAGCCTGATATGGACTCCTAATTAATATTATGGCCTGGTTAAATGGAATGAAGTATATACGTACTATTATGGCAGAGTCCATGTTCCTGAGTTAGCTAGCTAAGGAGGAGAGGACAATTAGGCTCATATTCGCATTCTTCTTGTGTTTTTTTCCTTTTGAATAATACAGTCAGTTAGGGATAGTAGTTGAGTATGTTTGTATGTAGTAGTATACTTTGACCTGATTACATTGACTACCGAGGCATTGATATTGAGATTCTTGATTTGGATAAGTGATCACAGTAGTTGGGATGATATATAGAGGTTCGTGACTTGATTGGAAAATGAAATGTGTATAGTAGTAAATGATATTAGTTGCTCATCCGATTACGGATCTCTCGGTCGATAAAGAGGAGAGGAAGGATGAGAATCGAAGCTGTTATTCATTACGAGTAGTTATCTACATTTTGATGCCATGTAATAGACTGATATGATGGGTTGAGAGTGTTGTCTGTACGCAGTAAGTACTATTCGAGGGTCTCGAGAGCTACTTAGGTACTGTTTACTAGCCCGTTTGGAGGGTTCCAAGAAGATTTGACTGGACGGAATCATTGATTGGTAGTGTAGGCTTTTAGATGTATTAGGGATATGGGTTTTCGGTTTGGTGTGGATCATGAACGTCGTTTAAGTGGTAGGTTAGTAGGATGAAGAAGATTTTATAAGGTTTATATCGTCACGTTGAGATAAAGTGATGGGGAGATAGTAGCAATGGTCGAATTGAGGAAGTATAGGGTAAATTAATACATTATATAATAAAGTCTTTTGTTTTTGGGCTCAAACTATACGTACTTCAGTGACAGACAGGTCTTGGTTGGTTCTGTTTTAATATTGGTGGCACTTGGTATGGTGTGTATATGGGATATCAGTGGGTGCTATGGAGGAGACAGGTACCTCTCTTAGATCAAATTCATATCGAAAGGGGCCGAGTTCGACTACTAGTTATTAAATCTGTCTGTTTAGATTGTCGATGGGTAATCATACACCCTGCGTCATACAAAAGCATTGTGTACAAAGGAGTGTCTGTGCCACATGCCATGTTGGTGACACATCCTGAGTTAACTAGCTATGGCTTGGGCATGTGAAAAGTAGAGACTCGGCCCGAGCACATGCGAATCGTGGAAGCTGAGCTTATCATAACACTACGGCGGTATACCTGTGTCCCAATCGCTTGCGGGCATCAGGTACCGGGTAAGATCGTAAGCGCCACTATAGCTCACTTGGACCGGCCACGAAAATAGAACAGTCTCTGTCCGACTATAGTTCTGCTGCCGGATATTAGATTGGCGCCACTTCACTCCTAACGGGTATGCACATCCGCTTGACACTGTGGAAACAATTGCCAGGGTCCAATAGCGCTACCGGTACCCGAGAATGCTCGGTGCCACCCAGGAAGGTATCAGCATTTGATAGGGCGACTGACGAGCAAAGACTGCTATCCTATAAATGTTAGTGGCCCCGGACATATGCAGGCCTCCGTCTGGGGTTACTCCCAAGAGCCAACGGCATATCAGTGATTACCCTGTGTCAGGATAGCGCGGATATTGCATAGACCCATCCTCGATCCGGGATACATGAGTGGCCATGTGTTCTGCTCGACTAATTGAGCATAACCCAAGGATGGCCAATCATACATCAAGTCTGCCTGGCTATGGCCACTTCCATCCTAGACAAGACAACGAATAGGATCTGGGCTAATCTCCCAAGACGGACCAATCGATCATGACACGAGCCAGTAATTCTGCACGCAGCCTGCGCTCCCGTTCCTGGGGCCATCTGAAAGCGGTATCGGATCGGTAGTCCGACGTTGCTGCAATGGATAAACGTGTCTGGCGTTGTGGACCTTCTGGAACTGGCTAGAAGCCCACAGGGTCATCGGCAAGATTCCGGTTCGCACAAGGTAGTGTGCAGTACGACTAAACCTCCACGGGCCCACCGGTCTTCGGCATTGTTCTGCACGCGTCAACCAGAAGGCCAAGCTTTGCTTGGCTATCTGATAGTCCGACTATCATTCCTGACTTGACAAGCGCAGATGTACGAGATTTGCGGCGTGATCGACGCGAAGCCCGTGGAGTCATCCCGAGTACCCGGGTTATCCACTTCCCGCACATCTGGAGGCGGATATAGTGATGGCGGACGCTTGGATGCGAGCTCGGAGAGGCGTGTCTTCGCTAATGGAGAGAGAGAGAGGAAGGAGTAATGCTTGGTTGTGAAGAACGGACCAGGGTGTAATTAACCCCTATGCAACCTCAGCTACGGAGTTTGGCAGGTACTCCGGCCACGATGCCGTGTCTTGCCGCTGAGCCGACGGTTGCCGCTCGTGGAGTTGACCTGTGGCTAGGTGCTGTTTCTGTGTACCTAATTTCCAGACATGTTATGGAGCACTTGGAAGGGGCCAGGGGGAACCGTAGCATTGGCATATATAAAGTGGACACCATCTGCTCTTCTTGGTGGATTTGAAGCTTCAATTGAGAGCAGAAGTGACTTTGGATGAAGGAAAATGCAGAGGAAAGTTGATTGACTGCGAAAAAAACGCCACCAGATTTCCGGCAACGAGCAAAGCAGACAAAACAGACAAACTGAGCCTAAGGCATGACCGGCGATCATGTGTCTACAAAGAACTTCCTGGATCGTCGCTGCCTCATCTTTTACCAGCTCCCCTCCTTTACTTCCTCGGCATACTCATGAACACATGCCTACGATGGTCAACTCTCAGTCTGTTCCTATCAACCATGTTCGCAGGGATTATGGTCTGGCCGTTGAACTCCCCTGAATATCCTGCCTGAGAGCCTACGTCTTCCGATGACGACGTGTCTAGTGGCCGAACCGCCATCCAATATTAACCTGCAGCCGGGAATAGCCATGGACAGACGATTCCAGAGGTTACTAAATCTTAGCGTATGAGGTGAGCAAGGATATACTCGGCGTTCCTTCTTGGGCTTTCCAAAATCAAAGCCGCCGAACACTTCATTGTGATCTTAATAAGCTGAGTTAATTTAGCTGCAGGTACGGCTTCGATAAGGGTGGAATATGGACTTCTACGACCTGGTGATTCGGAGATATCCGATTCTCAAATGCCTTCCAATAAAAGTTATGAACAATGAAGTGGCCCGGAGTACGGAGAAATTGCCTCTATCGTTGGTCTCTCGAGTCGAGCGTGTTCATGGCTAATAACGTTAAACCATTGACACATCATTTCATGATAACTAGTTAACAAGTGAGACATGTGCCACTCATTCCCGAATGCAACCATTCTATCAGGCCAGTGGGGAACGCACGGCTAGCCTCGTCGACCTCCGATGGTTAGTTACTCCCATCAGAGTTTCCTACTGGACCATCTCAGAAAGGTGGGAAAAGCAACTTGGAATGGCACCATTCACCGATACAAAGCGCACTGTTGGTTGCCATTTTACTTTCCCACCCCCTCACCCGCCCTTCTTGCCTACTGGCGCCTGGAAGTGGAATCCTGGAGCAGGAGAGAGGAACGGTAATTGGCAAGCGCTAACCAAATTGCGCCTTGTACTATGGAGCCGGCGCTGCGAGCCGACGCGCCCCATTCCCAAAATGACCTAACGGCCGTGAAGCCGAGGTTCAGGGTGTCCCTACTACTTGCAATGCTTAACAACAGACGGAATAATATTCAAGCCCCGTCATTGCACTTGTCAAAAATCAAGAAGCAGCAAATTTGGGCCTGAAGCAAGCCTAGATTGCGATACTAGTCTATTCTGCGAAATAAACTAGTTACTAATGAGGGGTTGCTGATTCGCTGTAGTGTATGTGATATCTGTGTCGAAGGCCCCAGAGAGCTCGACCACTCCCCCGAAGACAAGCCTTGCTCAGACAACCAGGGCTCCACCGCGTGCTGGGTCCACCACTTCTGCTGACCTTAACGCGGGTGCCTGTCGATTATGGGTCAACAGCCAATGTTGAACCGATATGCCTCCTCCGTCCCGGATTGTGAACATATGATAAGGAATGATGTGATAAGGAGGAAAAAGACGGTATGATCTAAAAGCATTGTACGGACATAACAACAGGGATGGAGTGGACCAGTAGGAGCTCCGCCATGATCCTG